ATTTCCATAGAGCGAGGTGGCTATGTGTGGTACAGAATGCGTTAAAGGAAATGCCCAGTTTTTCTGCTTCTTGTGAGGTGCGCACTTACATAAGTTAAATACAGAAGAACAACAATCGAGATGACAAAAGAATGTCTGTGGCAGATTTTGAATTCAGCCTAAATAATCCCTGGTTACAACCAGCAGACGGAAAAAAAAACAAGCTGTAATAAATAATCCTCACTCAAAAACTGCGCCAGAGAGGACAAACCCATTCCGGCCACAATCACAGCATACCCCATGATTTTAACAATCAATTCTGGTGCCTTCCTAGATTAGAAAGAAAAGGGGCAAAAGTCGTTGAAAATTATGCAGTAAAGTAAGAGGCCAAGAATGAGTTTCAAATCTGGGGAAACTTACCTTGTTCCGAGCCTCTGAGTGTGTGGGGGCAGAAGGAGATGTCAGGCTCCATGAAAGACTGTCGAGGTGGACAAGCTCTGCAATTCAAGATTAGCACTGTTATTGCAGGTTTCCTGGGGGCCCTGAAGTAAACACGATGTTACACTTCTGGAGTTTGAGAGGTGGAACCTGAGGTTCAGCTCCCACTGAAGCTGGTGGAAGTTGCGTGATTTACTTCTCTGTACTGAGGCTGCATCTATGAGCTGTTCAAAATTCACCTGAAATCTCAAAACAAATCCATCTCCATGAGCTTGTATCAAAAATATAATGGTTAGATTGATAGTTGTCACAGCTTGGTTTTAGAAACCTCGGCAATGGATCCTGGCTGTTGAACAAACCGCGCACTGCCCTGATCCAAAGCTCTTCCAGTGGATTCAAGATTAGACTCTCAGCTTGCAGATCCTTTCCATCCACTTTGGATCAAGAAGGCACCACACATGCTTTCTCCACAGCTATCCCATGGGATTCCATGAGAAGAAACCTTAAACAACATGAGTGGCTTGTTTGGTTTTTCAGTCCTGAAACAACTCCTGTGCCTGAGGAGTGGGGATTATCTTTCCCCTCATTGCTGTGGGCCCCAGGCTATTGTCTGATAGGAGCTAGTGGGTACCTTGGCAAGCTTTCTGGTAAACAGGGTGCTATCAGCAGGTGTTCAGGGAGCTGGGGAAAATGAGATGAGAGCTCTGCTCATCGTAAAGAAAAGTAGTAAAGAAAAGGAAGATTGACAGAAGCCTACAGAGTTCACTTAAATCCCTGCAAGTTCCAGGGAGTGCTCTCCTTGTCTTCCTGAAGGGACAAGATTTTTCCTGAGCCTTAAGGGGTTTGACATCCTGCTTTGCATGCATTTGGATGGGAGAGTTCAAGACTTTCAGTATTTGAATGATAGCCAATCTGTGCCCACAAGTAAAAAAGCAAAAATTTATTTTCCACTTAAATGAAGGCTTAGTTAGCCAACATTATTTCCCATGCTATGCTAAGATCATCAGAACTGCTGATTCCCAGCCATGTTCTCAATTAAAAAGTTAATGCATTTTTAAATTGGACCTTAGTCAAAAAATATTGGGTCTGTGCTACAGATTTTAGGTAGAAGAGCTTAATAAAACTCTGTCTTCAAGTTCTTATATTGTGCTTGCCACCTTGGGATGTTCATGGATTAAGTGATGTGATTAACTTTTGTCACATGTTTGTCTCTCCTACTTTCTGTCCAGTTAAAATACAGTTTGACAAACCATGTGAAAATTGTGCTTTCTATTAAGTAATGTTTGGAAGCTCCAGTTGGGGTTTTTTTTTCAATGCTTGGCTAGAGTCTACCCAAAATATGATGGAATTGGACACAGCCTTTTGTGTTTAGACTTTCTAAAATATTTACATCAAAGAAACACACATTCTCTGTTTTTTCCAGTGTGGAATATCAATTTCAGATGACATCTCAATGTAAACTTTTCCATAGCCAGTTCGATGATGCTAATTCAGTACTTCAGGTTGAAAACTCTGGTGTCAAGTTTAAGCACAGACACGGGCTGAGGTAGTTACTTTAAACTGACCTGCTGGTGTGAAGCATCTGCAAAGTTAGTTCCCAGCTCCCACAGAATCCTTCTGATACAGAGCTGGGGGTGTGAAGTAAACATGAGGCAGTTTTAATCTGTAGTATGGTAAAAACAGTCCATACCATGTTCTGAAATGCAGTGAAGAAGGAAGATTAAAAAGTGTTCAGCCACCTTTCTGTCCGTCTCTGACCCTTTCCAATTAAGGCTTCAGCTAATGCTCAGGGAAAGAAGTGTAATCTGACACATAGGACAATGAAGTCTTTTTTGGGAACTGACTGGATCTCCCGTCACTTGACTTCTGCCCTCTCAAGCCAGTTTTCCCATTTATCTGACCCTCCACAGATATTTCATTTACAGGGAAAATTTGTGTTTGCGTCTCCTCAGAAAGATCCCAAGAACCTTTCCATGGATTTCAGCCAGAAGTGGATTAGGGACCAAGCCTAAAATAAATTGAGTAGTTTTTTTTCTATCCACACATTTCAGTCCTGGAGAAATTGTAAGACATAAGCCTGAATCCAGCAGTGCTACTTCATGGTGTGGAGCAGCTAGCACAATCTAAGTAATAGTTGTAATAGTAGCAAATTGAGTTTTATTGACACAGACCACAACATTACATAAAAAAGAAGTGTAGATAACTGTGAAATTCAAAGCGTTTGCTGACATATACTAAGAAAAAATACTGGGAAATGAAGACATGAAAGAAGAGATGAAGGTTTTAGACTCTGGGCTTGCAAACCTTTAGGGTTTTTTTGCTATTGTATATTTGTACAGTATGCAGATAGCTGAGTTTGCCTGTGTGAGGAGCACCTTCCTGGATATTAGCTGGACTGGAAGGCATATGTGGAGGCTATAAAGTCAGTGTTTACTCTGCTGATACCCATTACTGTTGTGAGGATACTGGAAATGGGCAAAAATGATGGTGTTCATTGTAACTTGGAATACCTGGGTTCCCATATGCCTCTGCCAGAGGCTTCCAGGGTGACCTTGGGTGAATTGCATCCTCAGTGGCTCAGTTCCCGCATTCAATTAACAGAAATTTGATTAGATGGGAGAAGTCAGTTTTATTAGTATAAAATATTTTTAAGTGGAGGGGAAATAGGGAAGATACATGTATGAAATCTCAAATATTCCTGGTTTCAGTAATTTAAAATATAGATATTTAACTTACTGTTAATCCAGGAAGTGAAACAATTAAGTATTTAAAATAATGGAGATTGTAGCATAATCACTTTGTTCTTTCTGTGCCTTTACTAACTGGAGACGTTAATTTCTTTAGAAGTAAAATGTGATTTAATGTCAATGTTAGGTCACTTGAAGAGCATTTGTGAGCTGCTGTTTTCTGATGGCCCTGATTCTTGGCCATTTACTACAGAATAATTATTTCTGAGGTTAATGGAACAAACCAGAATGTGATTATTTTGTAATATAGCAACAAAAATACGTAAAATCAAAAGGGAGGACTAGAAGCTGTATATATGTGAGATAAACAGTTTTGTTAAGAATAGAACAAAATCATAAAGTTTCATATTAAGTGAAAAGTTAATTTTAACAGTATATCATACAGCTCTCTTTTTAACTTTATTATAATTCCAATGGATACCCTAGCCAAAATAAGAATGCTATCTATAAATATAGATCTGTCAGTATTAGTGTCACTGCCTGTGATCCAGTCACCGGGGCCTGTGAATGATATAAAAGTTTCAAAGGTAGTATAACCTCAAATGTGATGTTCAGATCCGATTTCCTGGTGTTCACACATGCAAGATAATATTCCTATATACTTTAGTTCTGACTACTTTTACAAGAAAAAATATATTGCTGGGAAAATTATATAAAACAATATTGAAGGTTATGTACTAACTTTTCCAGATGACTGTGGTAAGGGGTATGGATGAATATTATCTTCTAGGAAAGGGGAATGATGCAGGGCAACTGACTCACTGTTCTGTGGTCCGTTCTTTGGCTTTCAGGCAAAACTGCCATCTGTGCTATCAGTGCAGCTCCACTAGTCCTAAGAATTGTAGGAGCTTTAGGGCAAAAACAACACCTATGTTTTCTTACTCATCTAATCCTACCTAGAAGATTTAGAGGAAAGTAATGTAAAGGGCCTATAGCAATCCAGACCACCTGTCATCAAAAATTGCACCCTTGCTGCTGCCAGTGGACCTGAATGGGTGCTAAAAACAGTGGAGAATGCTAAGAAGGCATGCAGTATAGACAAGACTTGTGACTGTGAAACTGAAAAGGTTCAAAAGGCTCTTCTGAGAAGAAAGATGATACAAAAGCCTGATCAGTAGTCCTTTCAGGCTTCTGTGGCTAGGAGGGTATTGGCAACATTGCTGTAAAATGGGTTATAAATCCTTATGACTTGGATCATTAAAGAACTACAGCTCTCATTACTTCACTCTGCTCTGCTCTACATAAACAGAGGACTTCGTTCTACAAAAGAACAGGAAGAAAATCACCTCCATATTCAGGAGAAGCTGGAAGGTGAAGAAGCAAGCTTGCTCATACCATGAATTTCTTTTCTTTGTTTTCTTGTTTCATTTCATGTCCATCTCCACTGGGTGACACATGCTCTGGTTTCCTCCATGACATATGTGGAGTCCTCTGATCTCACTTCATCAGACCATATCCCAAACATGTTATCTTCACAGATACTACATTTTTCCTATGCACTTGCCTTCCTTATCCAAATAATTTTGGTTTGGTATGATTTTTTTTCTTTTTTATGACACTGACACTACCAATTGATTTCACATAATGCACACAGCGCAGCCTAAATATATCTATCTATCTCTGGATATAGGGTTCAGACATTAAAATCAATGCCTTGGAGGTGAAAGGCTTCATCGTCCATAAATAACTCTTGAGCTACTCATTTCAGCTCCTCATTCAGAGTATCAACAACGGAGTGTCATTTGGAAGGTGAAATTTGAAATACACATACTATGCTGAAGTTTCCTCAATTCAAGGAAATTCTAATGGAAATGGGGAATAGCAGGGAAATGGGAATTTGCACAAAACGGTTAAAGAGTTTTATTAACTTTTAAATAATAAATACCTGCAGTAATTTTAGCCCATTAATGAACAAATAATCACATGCTGTGTGAACAATTCAGGGGTACACCAGTAAATGATGCAAATTTCCACTTTGAAAGAAGCAAATCAAGTGTTGGACAGGCCAGTCTGGAGATGCAGGATCTGTTCCCGCTTCTGTTGCTGAGCTGCTCTCAATGTTAAGACAGGTCATCTCACCTCTCTGTGTTTCAGTTTCCCTCCTGTTAAACAAGGAGAATTATATATCTAAAGTGCTTTCAGATCAATGGATGAAAACTTTATATAATAGCAAGGTATTATCAATATCCAAAGGATGCCATTACGATGAGAGATGATGTGTACTAATATATATTATAATATAATTATATAATAACATAATGATATGATGATGAGAAAATTATCGGTAATTATTTATTATTTTCTTTGCTGTTTAGGAGGTATTTTTCTACTGTCTTTATTTTCTAAAGTCATATGCATAAGAGCTGAATGTTGTCACTTTCTTGCAGAACATAAAAAGTCTTTTTTTATCTGTATGATATAAGGATGAAAACCAGGTTAAATTCTCATATGTTATTTCCCTCAAGGCTGGAGGGCCAAAGTCAAAGGGAAAACCTAATGATTTACTGCACAAGAAAGTGCAAAATCTATGCATTAATAAATTCTATAGGACTGTCTGTTCATGCTTTACTCATATTGTTATTTAAGCTTGATTTCTTTTATTTATTTTTTTTTAGGAATTGGAAAAAAGGGATCACTTTCAAAAATTGCCCCACATTAAATAATCCATGTTTAAGAAATTGTGTGTTTATTTTTAAAGTAACCTATCAGACTACTTTTTCCTTTTGACAGCAAAGCAGATTGCTTATCTTCCATATTTTCATAATGAAAGCTCCCAAGCACAGGATACTGTGGCAGATTTACAGCCTGTGAGCAGCAGAACTGACAGGCATTTTAATATGAAAGGAGATATGATGTCTTTAATGTACAGTGATGTCACTTCTAACAAGGTAGAAGCCTGCTTTCTGCACTGCAATCACCATAAGAAGTGAAACCTGTCTGCTTCAGGAGTGACCTTTTAACCCAAGAAAAGGTCACAAAGAATAGAAAAAAAGATGAGACTCTGCTTACTCAGGTGGAAGGGCACACTGATGTTGGAGGAGCAAGGCTATTGTGGATGTGCATTATCTCCAGGAAGTTGAAGCTAGAAATAGTCTAGCTAGAGCTAACCTTGAGAACAGAAAAAGAAAGGATAATGCAAATCCTCAAGGGAGTGATAAACTGAAAGCTAGATTGCCTGTTGACCACCATTTTTCCTTTTATCCAGCATTGATTTGACCTAATAACTTGAAAGTGATATTGACAGCAACACAGTCTAGCATTAGCTGGACACATGATTACTTCACTGATAAAAAGGACAGCAACCCAGTACCAAGCCATGGGTCTTTCATTCTACATTAGTCCAAGTATTTACTACTTTGACTAGGAAATATTTGCCAGTGATTTTAAAGGCTGATGTACAATGTGAATTTCTTAAGTCCCTTCTTAAATGTGCTTCCAACTACTGACTAAAAAATTTTATCATGTAATTTTGAAGCTGCACCATTCTTAAACCTTGTATGCAAGAACATAAGATGAAAATGCCATAAAATGGCAAGAAATCTTAAGGTCCAGTAAATATTTTGTGTTAGCATTAGGCTGGTGACTTTGGTTAAAGACCGAAAATTAGAGTATGTGGGTGTCTGGCTGTCTATCTATCTATCTATCTATCTATCTATCTATCTATAGACTTACCTCCCTCCCTCCCTCCCTCCCTCTCAAGAGATTCACTTCCTCTAAACTGAAATTCAAGAAAATTAACTTTGAATATGTCTTTTGGTATTTTGGCATTTTTATGTTAAAGGAACAAACATCTTAAAGGAACATCTTAAAGGAACTAAGGGACAAAAGGAGCAACATAAAAAGTAATTTTGCTGTTTTCTACTATGTTTGCAGAAGTGTTTATTTTAAGAAAAAATGCTTTTCAGCAGGATCTGAACCATCATGTTTCCTAGCTGAGGTACTAGGCCACTAGAACAATAATATTCATATAAGGCAAAACAAGGAGAAAATCCCAGTGTTGGCTAATTTGTATAGTGTTATCCCCCAGAAGAAGTGTTGATATCAGTACAGCTGCATATCTGTGTGTCCTGCAAAATCAGAAATGATGGCTGACCTCATGAAGATGTCTGTAATGTTCCACGGCTAGTCCTGCTTTGTTTTGAATTTAAGCTTTATAAATGAGTATGTTGTTAGAGGTGATATGTTTGGTTTTATCTTACTCCAAAACGACTCTCTCTCTTCATCCCTCTTCAAAATGGAGGGAAGAGAAACTGCAAATTCAAGTTTACATATAGAAATAATCAACTCACATTTCAGTCGCAAATGTCAGAAATACTGGCAGTATCAGTGAATCCTTCTCCCCATTCTGAGCCTGTTCTTCTGACAGCAAAGGAACATTTCAAAGATAAGCCCTGTGTATGCTTGGAGATACAATAATATATTCTAATTATATTTTCCAAAAAGTAAAGATACTGGGAAATTAAGTATGACGTGATACTGCTATAGATCCATAGATCCCTGGAAAAAAAGTAAAAATCAGATGCAGTTAATGTAAGTGAATGGTTTGAAAAGTCCTGTAGTAGTTTTTAAAGATCCTGTGTCTGAAGACGAAAGCAGCTTGACAGACACAAGGTGTGAACTGCTTCGCTTTCCATGCTACCTTATATCTGTCAATATATTGGCAATGGAGCTGTGCCAAGGGCAGTCTCAAAAGGCAGACTGTCACATTTCTCAAAAGATGAAACATCCCTAAGTGTACAAAGAAATCAGGGACACAAGCTGATAGACAGGAGCAGCCCTGCAACTCTAACATTTCATGGCTAAGTTCAATGAGTGAGTCCTTTAAAGGATAATTGAATTGATGAAAGGCTTACAGTTGCCCCGATTAAACTTGTCCTTTTTCCACCTGTAAGACTCATGATAGTTTAAGCAAAAATCGAGGAAGAAATTCAGGACAGAGATATTCATAAGCACTTTGAAAATTGGTCTCAGATGAAAAGCTTGCTATTTGTTAAGTCACATGTGCCATTTATCCACACAAAGAATCCTGTTGCCCAAGAAGTGTTATTTGCAACATCCCCTTTTCTTCCTAACTAAGGATTTGTAAATATTTTTAGAACATGTCTCACTGCTTCATGACTCATTCCCCTTATGATCTTTGGTATTTTTCCCATTTGTGATTGTGTAGCATCCCTGTGGCATATGGTCACCGGGGAAAGTATTATTAGGAAAAAAAATCAGGTATTTTAACTATTTTTAATGACTGTTTGAAGGCCAAAATGTGGAAGAAGAGCCACATCAAAGCAACATTTTCAATCTATTCCATTACATTAACCAATCTTATTGTTTATTCGTGCTTTCCATGCTGTGTGGCTCTTGTATCTTTGTTTATAACTGAATTGTAAACTATCTGGGGAATGCGCTTTGCTTTGATGAGTGCTTATACAATGCCAAGTGTAAGAGTGTGATGGCCAGTGACCTACGTCATTAGGTGTTATGATAATACAATTTTAATAAATACATATTGGACTAGGAACTCATAAATTCCTCCTTTAAAAAGCCTTGGGTTTAAACCTATACCTGATAAGCGATTTGTTTTGTTGCTGTTAATGTCTTTTTTACTCAGAAGGTAGTAACATTCTTCACACATTCAGCAGTTACGTGATTCCTTTCAGAGAATGAGGGTTGTACCCTCAGATAGGTAACAAATCTGTTCATTTCACAAAATTTAGATAGCGTAGGGGAATGACACTTCTGTAAAGCAAATTTTCTTTGCCTGTGAATGTAAGTACTAGTTCACTGATATGTAGTGCATGAAGTTCAACTCATCTGTGTGCTCTGGCCATGATTCAGTCAAAAATTTAGTGCCAGCAAGCATATATTGTATTGAAAGTTGTCAGTGAGGATATGTGTATCTCTTATTCAGGCAGTTTGATATGGATGAACCCATTTGGACTCTAAACACCTCTGAAATAAAGCCTGAGCTGAGTTTTTGATGGTTTAGTCTTGTATAAGTAACTTAATGTGGTGGCTTACAAGTTGTTTAAGACCTAAGACCTTGTTTGCATGCTTACACTCTGTCACTAAATGTATATATATATAGATATACCTTTCATACATACATATATGTTGAGTATTCCTATAGATTTTTTTTTTTTGAGAAAAATAGATTTCATTCACAGTTTATATATAAGGCTGGTACAATTACATATTCAGACTAGTTGCACTGTGTAAGATCGATGAAATAATATACCATGTGCTTTAAATATTAATTTTTCTTCTTTAAAAAAAGGCTGGGTTATAACTGCAGTTTTTTTCACCCAGACTGGTTTTGAATTCTTTCCACACATACAGTATCATTCACCATTCTGTTTAAATAACCAGACTGGTGAGAATGTTTGACTTTCTAAGGCACCTTCTCTTTATGGAGAATTAAAGGTCATAGCTGGAAAACTGGCCATCTGAGCTCAGTCATTTCTATGTATTTTCTTAATTTTTCCTGGTTAATGGTCCTTTCAAATTCAGATTGCATGCTTAGTTCAGGCTTGCATCAAATGCTCCCCAGAAATAGCAGCTCACAGTGGGAAAAGATAACCTATTTCCTTCAAGCACTGTAGCTCTATCTGTGAACTATGGGGATCACATGAAGATTGATTAAATTTCTGCAGACACCTAGTGCAGAAAAAAAGTAGACATTTTCTCTCCTTGTCCATTTCAAGGGATAGCTATCTCCAATTCTAGCCACTTGTCTCTGAGGTCTGAAACTGGCCGAGTCTGTTTATCAATTAGGGGGCCAGTGTTTAGAACAACATTCAGAGTATAATGGTAATGGCTCCAAGGAACCATATTAGTATTAACCTCAATGCTAGGTCATGCACTATCCCTTTTAATGAGGGATGTTAGGGCTTCCCAGACAGGTGCATTTTGAGCTGAAGAGTAACATAACCTTTTCTACCTTACCATGTCAGGTGGGAAATTTAAGTCCACCTATTTCAGGTGAACTGAAATAGGCTTCCTCAGCAATATAGATAATTTAATTCCTCAGCCATCTTTCCTTTTTATCTCCTGTTGACATGCTACAAACTATAAACCAATAATAGAAACCACATTCATATAAACATAAACCTTATGGAGGTGTACTGGAGGTGTGCAGTAGGCTTTGTGCCCTTCTTGTTCACCTCTGTGAACTGTAGAATTGGGGTGCTGCCAGTGAAGAGGTAATGTATGAACCTGGATACTGACGTTGGGGTCCCCCTGTCTCTGTCTGACAGACTACCTTCAAAAGCCTCAGCAACCTCACCCTACCTGAAGTGCAAGCCCAAAGGCTTGGGGGGGGGGGGGCTGTTGGTTGCAAACAGGGATATATGAGTTTGCTAGTCTTTTCCTGCATGGTGAAAAGCAAGACTGCTTTTACCAGTCTTTCTCCCTTGCAGTTTCTATTTTAAAATATTATATGCATTAGAAAATTGCCAACTTCAGATTATAATGAAAAGTTTCCTGGGAACCACAACCTTGTTATCTGTCCCACAATGGGCTCAGTCATAAAATAAGCTTGAAATATACCCTATTTCTCTTCAGGTTTTGGGGGATAAAAGCAGTTCATTCCATTAGCCATCAGTCAGGGACAGAATAGCTAGAAGATCTGAAAGTGCTGAATCCAGGTATCATTATTTATGGGTGAGACGCAGCATGATTTGGTGAAATATGCTGCTTTCCCCAAGAGTTACATACGAATTCCCACTTCAGTGCTGCTTTGTAGTCTTGGATAAGCCGCCTAAACATTTTGTGACTTGGCTTCCCCTTTTATAAAAAACACATAATGGGACTTACCCTAAGAAAATATGTTGGCATTGTAAAGCACTTGGAGGCAGTGACAGGGGCTCTTTACCACGCTAACAATAGCAGTGATCTTTAAGGCAGGACAGCTGAGAGAGGCACTGCCTGCTCTGCCAGGAGCGTGGAAACAAGCAAGTCTGTTGAGCAGCAGGCACAGCTACAAAAGCTTGGTGGTGCCATAGAGCCCTTGTAGCCACTGGGCTATTCAGGCTACCAACTTCTGTTGCCTCTGCAGTGCTGAAAGGCCAACCAGATATTGTGACCCGACACTAAGGAAAGCTCTCTTGTAAGACTAGGATCATTAGTGCATATATAAAGGGGGGTATTTGCTGCACACTGATTTATCCAGTCTTTTAATTACATTAAAATAGGTGTAGCCAGTAACATGTTTGCAGTAATTTTTCATGAGGCCAGACTAAAGAATGAGCCCCTCTGCACTGTCTGAAACCATTTGAGCCCCTCCCTTATGTATAGGTTGAAATTACGGCAGCAGCCATAGCACAAGTGTGCCAGTACCTAGAGAACAGTCCAGTGCAGACCCATCAGTCAATGTCCTATTGATCATACTAACAAAAGTGGAGGAGTAGTGAGTCAGTGCTAAAATGCTGCCCTGATTTTATATTTGCACATTCTTCTAGAGCTAATGTAATTTCAATTATATCCTCTATAATTAAATATTATGAATAACCATGTGTTTTATTCAATTAAAGATGATCTGGAAGCATCAGTCATCTTTTTGCATCCAGTACAATGCGAAATTTCATTACACTGCAACACTTCTAGAGTGCAGCAGCAGCAATAGCTATGTTTCACGTGCCCTTCTTAATCATTCAGATCTGAGAAAAGAAGGTGGCTTTGAACTGCTTGAGGGACGGTGTGATTGGCATCAGGTATAAGCACGGCTCCTGTTAAATCTCTGGCTCTATGGTCAGTGAGAAACTCGTGCTGATCAATGCTACACAAACATAGCTGTCGACAATAAACCAAATCCATGACAGAAAGGGAATGTTGTCTCATACCACAAAGTGCCACTTGTTAGAAGCAATGCTGTGTTCCTGAGTGGACAACTCATGGGCTAAGAAATAAGATGGCACCCATTTTTAGGATGACAGAATGCGATTTTTTGTCAAAACTTGTGGGTTGTGTACTAGTTATTTTACAATAGCAGTGTCAAGTGTTATGCTTTTTATGATTGTTGCGTAACACTAGAAAAAGTACATAGCTGACAGCTAAATTTATGTTTTTTTAATTATGCCCTTTACTAAACAAATGTTTATCCTGCTCTATATCAATACTTGATTTTTATATTTATCTATGTATTCATCATAAAAATACTCTTGCTATGCGGAATTACATATAACCACTTTTACCTTCCTCTCCATCTATAAAATACATTATGGAGTGTAATGTCATCAGGGCTCTATGAACAGGGTTCAGGAATGCCAGATACCTACTCTTATCTCTGCTGCTGTAATTCTTATGGGCCTGACCCAAACCCACGTGAGTTTCTGGAAAGGCTTCTATTTATTTCAGTGGTCTTTGCATGAAGTCCCAAGAAACATTTGCCAGTTTTTGTAGGGGAGAATTGTCGAATCATGGGACCCACTTTGGTGCTTTACGGACTGATCCTTAAAAAGGTGGTCTCCAAAATTTCTGGATCGTGTGCCCCTATCAGAAAAAAATTCTGAGCATGTACTCTCAGTATATGTATAATCATTTATTTATGAATTATATACATGTGCTAATACATTATGTACATTATAAAACATACACAAAATAGAAATAAGAAAAAGGATAAGCGAAAGATGAAATAGATGAAATAACATTTTTTTAAATATTTATTAATGCCACACAAAAACTATTTCTTCCTGCACCCTCATGGATGGTCTTGTGTGCATCCTACTTTGGAGACCACAGTCTTAGAGGGTCCATCCATTGGTAGTGGCAACTTTATATCATATACCACCCAGAAGTAGCTTAAACACAACTACTTGTGCATGAATCACAGCTTGGGAACCACTCATTTATGCCATTGATGAGTTTAAACACTTTACAAGCTTGTCAATGGCATAAATTGGAACAGGAATTTCTTTATTTGTATAAATAAATGCAATAATAGTGGAAATGAAAGATTTTGTCAGGTTTTTTATCAGATAAGTATACTGTTAAGAACATATCAAAATTCTTAATTGATTTACATCCAGTATTTTCCCTAAAATTATTTAGTAGTGATTTTTTTCTTATTAGTCAAAGTGGTTTGAAGTGGTCCTGGCTTCTCCAGAAGCTCTCATAAATCATTCTAAACAATACACATATCTTTGTTGCTTAATACTGGGTTAGCATGAGAATCTCAGTTCCAGCTATGCAGTTTGAATTGTTGTCGTCTATAGTTTCTATTGATGCCACAGCAGAAAGGGGGGGGAATCCCCAAGTTTCTGAGAATTTACAGGCAATTTCAAAATACCATTGCTATTTAGAGAACGCTCAGATTCAGACAAGAATCTTTGTCCTGGAGTTTCAGAGGCACTTGGAGTGCACCCTGAAGCACAAAAGAAGAAATGGAAATACTTTCATAAGGAATTACTGCTTCTGAAATAGGAATGCTTTGAAAAAGCTTACTGATATTTGGTTGATATTTGGCTGTCTTAAATTGTCTGCACTAGCGAATTTTCCACTATTGCTAGTCTACATGTAGCATGACCAGAGCCTCAGCTGTAGATGAGCCACTTATGTCCTTACCAACAGGTAAGAACCTTTTTCAGAGCAGATTTGGATGACACAATAATACGAATGACAGCATCTCCTGGTACATCAGAAGTACTGTAGCCTGAACTAAGCTGGCAGGCAAGCTCTAAGTACCTCTCTTCAGGCACCAACTGCTTTCTTTTGTGACAGTAGCCACTACTAGAAACCTTGTCACATGGGAAGACAGGGTTAATATACTCGGAAACTGTATGTATTTCATGTGAGTAGAAACACTTGTACAGAAGCTGTATGAAAATCTAAGGACTCCCGGCCAGCCGATTAAGGGAGAATGGGAGAATCATTGTGGAGCATGGCCAGGCCTGTGGCTGTCCTTGCTGCCCACTTGCAGCTTGCTGTCTTCTCTTGACCGACTTCTCTGGTGGATCAGAGCTTGTGTTTTACTCAAAATACCATCAGGACTATTGTGTGAGATGGATATTCTCAGCTATCTTTCTTTGGTCGTGTTTTCTAATGAAGAAAATAACTTTATGCCTGTATATCTGTCCCACCAAACAGGAAGTGTGTTTGCCATACCACCAAGTTACATGCAAATAGAGTGATGTACTTCCATAAACCCATCTAGACTTTCCATACAAAATAGTTGTTTCTGAGCTGCCCATTGTCACTTAGGAGCAGGATCTTAGGTTTATAGTGTGTCATTACTGAAAGTATCAGCTCATTGTTGAGCAGCAAATGAAAAACAAATACAAGGCAAATTACACACGAGTGATTGCTAGAAAATGAAGTGTCATGGGTGAAGCTGACGTAATGCAAGTGGGGGATGCAAAACAATTTCTGAACAAGGACTATGTCCTTGTTACCTTACCAGTACCTTGCAGGTGCACAGCCCGTGACTTTCCAAGGCAGCAGGCAGCCAGCCAGCCTGCGGTCTGTCCATACTGACTGCTCATGGCATGCCTCTTTTCTTCCCACCCAAGGCTTACGCTGCCTTCCTGGCTGCCAGCTCTCACCTTGGTTTCTCCCAGCAACCCACCAGCTGGTGCGGGGCAGCCATCCTGCCACCACCTCCTTGACCAGGCACAGCCCCTGTGTCCCCCAACGCTTCCCACTAACTGGGGCAGCTGCCTCCTGCGTCTCCTGCATAGCCACCCTGATTGACTGCTGGGAGGGAGCCTGCCCTGTGCAGCCATGGCTGCTGAGGTGGATTTGTTCTGGCTGGTTCCTAATTGCTGTGGGAAAGTGTGTCATGGGGGGCTCCTGCCACCAGCACAGGGGTTGCCTGGCCACCATGGCAGCTGGGGGATAACCAGCCAACACCAGCAGGTCGCTGCCTCAGTCAGCAGTGTGCCAGCACCCTGAGTGTCCCATAATGCCACCTCCTGCCACAGAAGACCCCCAAGAACCATGAGAGACAGCCAGTGGTAAACACCAGCCGTCAAGACATTTTGGTCTGGAAAAGGGGTGGTGGAGAGGGGATGTATCAGCTGTCTCTAAAGCCGTGACTGGGACAAGGAGAGAGTAAGGGTTGATTGTTTGCTGTTTTGATACATGCGCTAGTTTCAAAGGAGGGCTGCATGTGGCAGGTCAGAGCCTAGAAGAGGTGGCAATTCTTCATGTAATACCTAGGCAAGCTCTGTGGTGCTGTTTGGCACAGGTTTGGTGGGTGACGAAAGCTCAGAGGAGTGAGGACATGGTTGTTAAACGGGCAGAAACCACCTGTGGCTCATGGGAAGGCTGTATCATAAATTGTCAGAGGCCCAAGCAGTCTCTAACAGCATGCGTGCCAACAACGAGGACCAATTAGCTCTCTTATTACTCTGCTTTCTAGGCATCTGCCTTTGGCCACTACTGAGGACAAGGCACTGGGTGAGGTGGCCCTTGGTCTGGCCTAGTAGAGCTGTCTGGTATACCTGCCATTTGCCTCTGATGTGCTGCTACTTCTGGAATGGAGCTTTATAGTTGTACAGATGCCTGGAGCTCAGCTTGGTAGTGTACCTGGGTGAATATAAGCTTTGGCCACTGACAGTAGTGAATACAGCTAAAGAAATGTGTTCAGGAGTATTGCTGTCTAACAGCTTTTAGCACGTTTTATATTTCATGTTTCCAAAGACGCCACTTCTTGGAGTTGCAGGAGAACGCAGAAATATCCATTTCCTTGCAGAGGTTCAGGTTACACAAGCTCTTGGGTCTGTAAGCTGTCTGAGAGGTCAAATCAAGTCAAATGCTTGTGTGGCTTATCTTGTATTAAATATTGCAGTAGTCATCTTATCTATCTGAAAAAGGTGAAGGGTTCCATGACCCTGAGACTTGAATGTGTGGTGCTGGGGAGTCAGGGAATTTTTCAAATTTGCTGTATTATGCTTATCCTCTTAGAGTCAGACTTCTCTTAAAAGGTGGTGTTAAAGATTGCTACACAGTTAAAAAGGTGCGGTTAAAGAAAAGAATCACTCTGATTGTATTAATTTATAAGCCTTTCTTATGCTCTGATCCTGCAAAGCACCAAGCACCTCAAGTAAAGGGGATTTTAACTTCTGTTGGCTTCAGTGGGATTTCTTGTACTATATGCTCAGTCACAAGTCAGAAGGGACAGAGCTTGTACAGGCTTCAGAAATGTCTTTGGAGTTCACTCATGGCAACACTCACAACCTTATTGCAAGGTCAGGATTTTTAAGGGCTTCTACAACTCTCAGCTCCCATAGCTGTGGTAATACGAGGGTATTTGCTATCATTATACAAACAAATAAATGCCTAACCTCTGTGACTGAGAAGAATGTCAAAACATTGAATTCATTTATCTCAACACCAGCAGACAAGTGAGGAGACTGAAATATCACAGGGGTCTGAAGTACAGTAATTCCTTAAACAAGCTTGTGGTATTTTTTAATGTGTTTAGGGTTAGCAGTCTTGGGATTTTCAGGCTTATTTCCTGTCTTCCCATTGTGCTTCTTATTTTAAGTTTCGGACAACAAGATTCCTACCTCTGTTTGCCCATTGAGATAAGCTAATCCTCTAAAACTTTCTGAGACCAAGACTGCTTGTCTTCATATAGTTTTTGGTGGCTAGGCTGCTGGGTCACTACTGGCTCTTGTAGAGGTGATACTAATGCCCACTGTGAAAGGGCTATCATCGACTGAACAAGCCCTGCTATGTGTTACAGTGTGTTGATGTTTTCTCTATGTCTTCTGATGCATTCAAAATAATTTCACAAGCTGTTCCCACAAACAGTGGGATCTGGTTAATACAAGCAGCAGCAACTTCTTCGTGAGCCCTGAGTCTTACCCAGGTTCTTCATATGCTTAAATGATTAGCAGTATTTTTTTGAAAGCCCTTGGCTTTGGCTCTTTGATTCTTTTTGGACAGAAGCACTCTAATTCCTTAAAATTTTTCTGAGCAGCTCCTCTAAATAACACTAATACACACAGAAAAACCCCCAATGCTTTTCTAATTGCCTGTCTGGATTATGCAATCTCATATCTGAAGAATAAAATTTATTACTAATATCTGAAGTGGATTGCTGCAGCTTCCCCGGTTTATTAATAGCTGTATCCATTATTTTCTAAAGAAGAATCTCCTGGGCCTTTCTTGTGATATAAGCATTACTGCTAACTGGGTAGCTGGCTGGGAAGGATGATAGTGTCCCCTGCTATTATAAATCTAGTGATTTCACCTTTCAATGTCTGCCTTTATTCTCCCCTTTGGGCATTGTTCCAGTCACTTTTTGGCCTTTTTATTTTAAAGAAAAATCCTGTCCATATGGCCAAAGGAGATACTATAGTTGCCCTCCGATTCAGTTAATATGTGCTTGCTCTATATATTTCGGAACCAGACTGCCATTGTACAGCCGGAAAAAAGAAAGAGGGCCATCTTCAGCAGAAAGCTAAATTAGCAGCCCGCATGCATCAAACAAGAATAAAAGCCCGTGCTAGAAGATACAGTAGATCTAAATATGCATGCCCTGATTCACGTAGGCGGCCAAACTCTTTCAAACAGAAACATAATTTGACCTATGAAGTAATTAATGCCATGATTATGGGGAAGGAAGACACGACAGTTCAGGCTGCAGCCAGACTGCTTTCCATTAATAGAAAGCTCTATTATCCCCTCCCCTAACAAACATCTCAGTTTTTTAAATTACATTGGCTACAACATTTCTGTGTCTGCACTGAAAGCAGAGCAGATTGTTTCTGCAAAAATTCAGTAAAGTTAGTGTGAGATTTTCTACTTATTTCATTCTATTTATTTCCTCCATTACTTAAAAGGGGTAGCTCACTGCTTCTGCAGTCTTGCCATATAAATCCCTTAAATCAGATTTTTGAGGAAGACAGATTGGCTTCAATTAAAACATATTCATTGCTTTTATAGTAGTAGTAGGTAGTTCTGAGAACAATCTCCCACACCCCAATATCAATGGAATTTTTCTGCTGGATTTAGCAGGAAGAGGAATACCAGCATATGATATTTAGCTGAAATCTAGAAAGATCACAATAGGGTTTTTTCGCATAACCTCTCATTAAACTGTGGTACTCAATGCTACAGTATTGTGTGAATCTCACTTTTTTTAATATTGAAAATGTAATCAGACAACTTCATGAGAGGAAAAACCTACTAAGGACTTTCAAATGTGCAGATACTAACTCTACTGAAAAGAAAATCCCAGAATCATAGATCACTAGAAACTATAGGAGTATACTGAGCATGGGTCACTCTATGTTTTCCCCTTCTTATTCCCCTCCTAAGGCATTTTCTATTGGCTTCTGCTGGAGGAAAGGTGCCTGGTAGCATGGACCTTTGATTTGATCAATATGGCCAGTCCTAGTTGTGTCAACAAAAATTCACTTTGACTTAAAGGAAAAAAAAATTCTTCTAGAACTGTAGCCACAGCTTTTTAATCAATCACACTAGAAATTCAGTCTTTTCAGTTTGATATGCAAAACAGCTTGTTATTCTTCATATTCTATGATCCCTTCTGACAATTGTAAGGAATCATAGAGTCATAGAATTGTTAGGGTTGGAAAGGACCTTAAGATCATCTAGTTCCAACCCCCTGCCGTGGGCAGGGACACCTTACGCTAAATCAAAAAGGAACATGGTCATATTTTCAGCTTCTGGGGTAAAATATATCAACAAGTAAAACTTGATATGAAACTCTTGCATTATTTGACAGGATAGATTGTCAGATTAAGGGCCTCAAGATTGCTGGTTTAAGTCTTTTTCCTAAGCACTTCCTATTTCTTTGTATTCCTGAATATTACACCATTACTGATTGAAAAGTAAGACATGCATAAAGGGCAAGGATAGTGATTTTTTAAGAAACGGCGGCTATTTTTATAAGTAGGTGTGTCTTCATTTATACAAAACCAGTGAAAAAAGGTAGGCTTTGTTCTGCTGGTTTTGAGCTCTGGAAAAAAAAAAAAAAAAAAGAAGAAAAAAATGTTTAAAAAATATCTTTGAAAACTGAAAGAGACCTCTAGGATATAATTGATGGCCATTCTCTTCCAAAATCCTCCTGAGGTACAGGGCTAGGCCCAGGACTCCTGCCTTGATTCTTCCACTGTAATTATCCATCCTCCTCAAGCCTTATGAGAACTGTGTTCATACCATTTCCAAAAGGTCAGACCCATTCCATTATCCCCGTTTTCCAGTGAGGTAACTGAACATCTTGCCAAGGGTCACTAGAGAAGCCTGCTGCAGTGCCAGGAACAGAAAACTAGTATCATAAGTTATGCCTACATCCTTGATAGAACCTCATTTGTAAACGGTCCCTATCTGTCCCCCACTTAGGACAGCTGTAAAATCAAGCTAATAATGTTTATACTTAGTTTTGGAAGGAGCTTTGAGAGTTAGAAATAAATGCTTTCTCTGCAAATGCAAAGATTTATTTTTCACATGGAGTAATTGCAAGTGAGTAAAAATGGGAAGATGGTCAAAAGCATTTAGAAGACTTAAGATCACAAATTACCATCAGTCACACTTGTTTTCCTAATATTTTAGATGCTTTTGCGTATCCTCTAGGGAGGCTAATCTAAATCTAAGA